GGGGACCCAAATTTGAGGGGTCTTGGTTGTCCAGGGGACCCAAATTTGAGGGGTCTCGGAGGGGGGAGGGGCCTGGGGGACCCAAATTTGGGGCCCTTGGAGAGGGGGAGGGGCTATTAGGGACCCTAATTTGGGGGTCTTGGGAGGGGAGGGGCCTGAGAGACCCCAAATTTGGGAGTCTCGGGGAGGGAAGGGCTGGAGAGACCCCAAATTTGGGTGGTGATTGGTGTCTCCAGAGTGTGACATCGGGGTGGGGGGGGAGGAAATTGGGTTCAGAAACAACTGACGGGATAATTTCCCAAACCCCGCGGAGGTTCCTGCCCCTTCCCCTGCTCCCCCCAGCCCTGACAGGGTGTTCTCCACCCCCCTGCAGGTGAAACGGTGTCACTGGTGGACGTGGACATCTCCCAGCGAGGACTGACCTCCCCCCACCCTCCGACTCCTCCCCCTCCCCCCCGGAGGAGCCTCAGCCTGCTCGGTACCATCCCGGGAACCCCTGGAGGGGCTGGGAATGTGGGATCCCTGGGTGGGGGGCACCCTCGGGGCCCCCTGACCCTGCACCACACACGGGGGATTCCTGGGAAGCTTCAGATTCCCCTGGGATCAGGCAGGAGGGGAGGGGAGGGTGGGGGGAACCTGGGGGTTCTGTAGCATTTCTGCTGCCTTTGGGAACGTTTCCCCTGCCTGCCCATCATCACCCAGGGAGGCTGGATGGATCCCTTCCAGGGAGGCTGGGTGGATCCCTTCCAGGGAGGCTGGGTGGATCCCTTCCAGGGAGGCTGGGTGGATCCCTTCCAGGGAGGCTGGGTTGGATCCCTTCCGTGGGATCCAGCTGGTGGAAGTGGAGGCTCCTGGGATGCTCCCTCCGAGCAGGAGCAGCCTGGGGTGGGTGAGATCAGCAGCTGGCCCGTGTGCTGGGGCTGAGATCTCCTGGAATTGCCTCTTTTTCCCGTGCTGGAAAAGGGATTCCTCTCCTCTGGGAACGAGTGTGTGTGTGCAGGGCCTGGAGAAGCCAGAGGGGGATGAGGAGCTGCCAGGGGGAAGCTCCATCCTCCCTCCTCCGGGCAGTGCTGGATTCCTGGCTCGGTTCTGTCGGACACTTGCTCTGTCTCTCTCCTGCTCTCTGACCCTCTCTTGCCTCTGTTCTCTCCTAGATGATATCAGTGGGACGCTGCCTCCATCTGTCCTAGTGGGTCCAATGGGCTCTTCCCTGCAGTCTTTCCCTCTGCCTCCGCCTCCTCCGCCCCACGCCCCAGGTCAGCGGAGCTTTCCCGAGGCTCTGGCTTTTCCCTTCAGGAATCTGCACTTTGGGGAGGGGGTTTCTCGCTCAGCTTTGAGGCTTTTTCCATCTCTGGTGCTGCCTTGGCTGCTCAGGGACTGCAGGCACTGCCCTGTCCAGGCTCTGCTCCCGTGGCTCCTGTTGCTCTCCGTGGTTTTCCTGGAGCTCAGGATTGAGCTTTACCCTCAGTGGGGTCCAGCCCACCCTGATAAGGAGGGTCAGCAGTGCCATGGGAGCAGAATTCCAGGCAGGAACCCCAGCCTGTGACACCCCCCCTCCCAGTTTTCCTGAGCTAATTCCCCCTTTTTGCTTTCGCTCTCCTCGGGACCCAGAGGGCTTTTCCTGCCCCTTTTCCAGGATGTGTGTGCCCATCCCTCCCTCTCCTCCCACGCCTTCCCTCCGAGCCAGAGTAAGGAAGAGCAGGTGAAGGCACAGGGAAGGGTTCCCACCGTGTCCTTCACGAGGATTTTGTCCTTCTGTGGGTCCTCCTCCTTCCCTGAGCTCCGGAGCCGTGCCAGGGGCTGGGATCACTGGGATCACTGGGATCGCCGTCCCTGGGGGCTCTCCCCGTGGCTGATGGTGGCCCTGGCTTGTTTTTCCCTGTGCAGACGCCTTTCCCAGGATCGTCCCGGTGCGGCCTCCGGAGGGGGGGGTGGCCCAGCCCATCCCACACCTGCAGTGTCCCCTCTCCCGACCCGATTCCAGCAGCTTCGCCGCCAGCCTGAGGGAGCTGGAGAAGGTAAAGGGGCTCCTGGGACGGGGGGGAGGGAAAAACTGCACCTTCAGGGCTTCATTTTGGGGGGGTTCATCGTCCCCTTCGTGGACTTGGGAGCACAGGATTAGGGTAGGGGTGGGAAAAACCCCTCCTGCCTTTCCCCCGGCGAGGGGGTCGATCCGTTCTCCGGGGACAAGAGGGAGCATCCTGAAGTGGCAGCAGGAGGGGTTTAGGTGGGATGGGGTGGAACAGGCATTGGAACGGGCTGCTCAGGGCAGGGGTGGAATTGCCCTCCCTGGAGGGACTTAAAAACCCCCGTGGAGCACTTGGGGCCGTGGGTTTGGGGGCGGCCTGGGCGGTGCTGGGGGAAGGGTTGGACTCGGCCATCCCGGAGCTCTTTTCCAGCCAGAATCATCCCACGGTTCTTTGAGCCCGGGAGAGCATTTTGCTGTGCATGGAGGGGGTGTCGTGGTCTCCTCTGTCCTCTCCCCACCTTTGGGGTGGGGAGGGACGGGCTGGTGCCCTCCCCACCCCGACCATCCTGGGGGGGTACAAAGCACTTCCATTTGGGAACGTGGCAGCAGGAACAGGTTGTGCCGTGCTTGGCTGCTGGCAAATCACCCTGCTTGGCGTGCCCTGACCCTCTGCCTGCCTCTCTCCCCAGTGTGGGTGGTACTGGGGCCCCATGAACTGGGAGGACGCCGAGATGAAGCTGAAGGGGAAACCCGACGGGTCCTTCCTGGTGCGGGACAGCTCCGACCCCCGGTACATCCTGAGCCTGAGCTTCAGGTCCCAGGGCATCACCCACCACACCAGGATGGAGCACTACAGAGGTGAGGAAGGGGGGGCCCAGCACCCCCAGAGCAGAGCTGGCAGGAGGGGGGGACCAGCAGCAGCCCCGGCGTGTCCTCACTCCTGTGTTGAGCTCCTGGTTTTAAGTCAGGCTTGGGGGGTTTTTTTGTAGCCTAATTTTAAGCTTTTCCTGGGTTTAAGTTAGACTGGGGTTTTTTGTAGCCTAATTTTAAGCTTTTTCTGGTTTTAAGTTAGACTGGGTTTGGGGTTTTTTTAGCCCAGTTTTAAGTTTTTTCTGATTTTGTGTCATTGCTTTCCCCCAGCAGCATCCAGGCCCCAAAAGCCTTTAGTCTTCAGCAAATCCCAATTATTTGATGTAAAAAACCTGTCCAGCTCCTTCCTGTTAATTTTAAGAGCGTTTTTGTGGCCTTTGGGGTGATAAAAGGTGTTTGAGCTTCTTTCTTTTGCCTCGAGGAGCGACTCCCCGTCGCTCTGAAAAACTGGGAATCAAGAGTTCCTCAGGCCACGCTCTGGAAAACTGGAGCCAAAGGAATGCTTGGCAGCAGGGTTTTTGGGATCCTGTGGCACTGGGATGTGATGCACCACATCAGCACTGTGGGAGTTGAGCCCCTCTTGATGGGAAGGTGTCCCAACATTAATTCCAGCCTGTCCAGAGCCAGCTCCCTGTGTCTGGCTGCTGCCAAGAAGGAAGGATTTTCACCTTATCCTCATGGAAAGCGGGAGAGGCTCTCACAGCTCGAGGAGTTTGAGGCTTTTCCATAACTGAGCTTGGGAGGAAACTTTTCCTGCTGCTCTCTGACGTCTCAGTTCGGGGCTGGGACCTGAGGGAACTCCTTTTCCTGAATCAGGAAAAACTTACTGATGGAAAGCATGGTCAGGCCCTGGCCCAGGCTGCCCAGGGCAGAGGTGGAGTCACCAGCCCTGGAAGTGCTCAGAAACCACGTGGATGTGGCACCTGGGGACAGGGTTTTAGTGCTGATGTGGGACAATGTTTGGACTCGATCTCAGAGACCTTTTTTTAACCTGAGATGTTCCCTGACTCCGAGGTTTTGGTGCAGGGAGGGGGTGTCTGTGCAGCCCAGGGGTGGTTGAACTGGTCTGACTGGAGGTTTAACCCCCTTTGGAGCTCTGGGACCTGCCTGGGGGCTGCTGGCCCCGTGTCCCCATCTCCAGTTTCACCCTGGGCCGGGCGTCGTGTCGGGTGACAGGGACAGGGACAGCACAGGGACACCCGTGGCCTGGGCTCTGACCCTGCTCCTACTTAACAGTCCCTTTAATTAAGGTGTTGGGAGCAGCTGGCAGGGACAGGGAGCTGTGGAACGTGATCCCTGGCAGCCACAGGGCTGGGAAAAGGGGACAGCAGCTCCTGGGTGTCTGGTTTAAAAACCTCCAAGCGCTTCCTTTGGGAATGCTGGGGGTGGGATGCTGCTGCCCCATCCCTGGAAGTGTCCAAGGCCAGGTTGGAGCAACCTGGGCTAGTGGAAGGTGTCCCTGCCCATGGCAGGGGGTGGGACTGGATGGGCTTTAAGGTCCCTTCCCACCCAAACCATTCCATGATCCTATGATCCCATGATCCTGCAGAGGAGCAGGGACTTCTGCAAATTAAAGTCTATTTTTGTTGATGTTCCAGACCCAGCAGTGGCAGCTGTTCACAATTGCAGGCAGGGGTGGCTTGTGGCTTGTGGTCACTCTGTCCCACCTCTCTGTGCATCCCCAGCTCCTGGAGATTGCTGGTTCTGGTGCCACTGGTGTTCCCTCTTAGTGCCCCATCCCAGCTCTGAGAAGTCAGCCTGGGACGTTCCCCTGGATTTTGGGAGCAGCAGACCCACCCCTAAATGTCCCTAAGTGTCCCCTCTTGCCCCTGGTGCTCCCATGACGTGCCACCTCCTCTGCTCTCTCACAGGGACCTTCAGCCTGTGGTGCCACCCCAAGTTCGAGGACCGCTGCCAGTCGGTGGTGGAGTTCATCAAGAGGGCCATCATGCACTCCAAAAACGGGAAGTTCCTCTACTTCCTGCGCTCCAGGGTCCCAGGTGAGCCCAGGGAGGGGCTTTGCTCCGGGATCAGCTGCTCCTCTGTCCCACAGAGGGGGTTTGGTGTGACCTTGGGCTGTGCTCAGTGTCCTGCTCCCCGTCCTTGCACATCCCTGCTCCTGAGGGTGAGGAGACTTCCCAAACCTTCCTCCCCAGGACTTTGGGATCGTGATCCCACCTCCTGCTGGAAAATGCCCGAGCCTGGAAGCTGCTCCCTCAACAAGCAATTATTTGGCTGCTAAAACCCCCCTTCCTTCCCTCTCCCCCAGTCTCAAACCACCCCGTGCTTTGTGGCTTCCCAGTTTTCCCTTGGCTGGGACCCACCCGGGGCCGTGGAGGGCAGGGATGTGGGAGGGATTCCAGGTGTGAGCTCAGAGGGAGCCTCAGGTGATGATTCCGTGGATTTGGAGTCCCTGGAGGGCCCATCCACAGGCAGGGGCTTGCAATCCAGGAGGGAATGTTGTGGCTCTGTTGGAGCACGTTTGGTTGCAGAGCTTGGTTCCCCATCCATCAAACTCCTGGAGGGCTCCCACCCCCATCCTGGGAAACCTGGGCAGGCAACTGGACCTGGATTTATTGTTTCCCTGGGTTTTGCTGCTCTCTGTCCTGTCAGCCAAAAAAATCCAGTGGGAGAGGAAGGGAAGAGCCAAGTGGGGGAATGGAGGGAGCAAGAGTGGGGGACAGGACTTGGGAAAAGGGGATTTGCCTTGAGCAAAGAGCAGGAATGGGAATGATGGAGAGCAGGGTGAGGGTTGTTGAGGTGAATTTGCAGTAAGATGGTAGTAAATCTGCTCCCTGCCCACACTGCCACCGTTCCTGCTGGGGACAGGGATCTTTCCAGGCACTGCAGCACCGAGAGGATCCAGCCCAAAGAGCTTCTGTTCCCTGTCCAGCATTCCTGCAGGCTGGAAGCACAGCCTGGAGCTGTTCAGTGTTGCCCTCTGCAGACACCAGCAGTCACTGGAAGCTGATTTAGAACGTGCTCTGGGGAGGAGAGGGTTGTGAAGCTGCTTTTGGAGTGACCCTCCACTCCAAAAATCCTTAAATTCAAGATACTTCACCTTCCTGATCCTGGGATCTCTTCCCCCTCCCCCCCCCCGAGGCTTTGGGGGGCTTAGGAATCAGGCAAAAATAGCTTAGGGAGGGCTTGATTTAGAAAAATACCACTGAAAAAAAGAAAATATCCCCCCTCAAACAGTGCTGGGCACCTGCTGAGGGGCCCTTTGCTGCTGGATCCTGCACTTCCCTGGATCCAGGGCTGGATCCAGGAGACCCTTGATATAAAACAAGCCTCAGGGTGATGCCTGATCCGTAGTGGGAGCATATTTGGGATCTCCCCAGTGAGCTCCTTTAGGGCTGTTTTCCTGCTGGAAGTGACCTGCTGCTGGGAGGGAAGGGGTCAGGGGTTTTGGAAGGAGGGGGTTTGGAAGGAGGGGTTTTGGAGGAGGGGTTTTGGAGGAGGGGGCTCTTCCAGCTGGCAGTGGCCATGTGGAGCTCGGGCTGTGTGTCCCTCTGGCTGCTGGCTGAGCTCCCAGAGGCTCATTCCTTTTTTTTTTCCTGGTGGGAGAATAAGGGGGGTCAGAATCCAGCCCTCAATGCCTCGCTGTTCCTTGCTCCTTCCCAAGCTGGCTCCCAGCTTCCCGAGCTGCCTGGAGCAGTTTGGAGCCCATCTCAGTGTGAGGAGCTTTCCCTTTTCTCCTCTCCCTCCCTTTCCCTTTTCTCCTGTCCCTCCAGTGCCCTGGGAGACAAGGCAGCAGGGAGGGGTTAGAGTGGGACTGCCTTGGAATCCTTGTGTAAGGACAGATAAAACCCTGTGCTGGGGGGGAGCCCAGCTCCCAAAGATCCTTCCCAGTGCTCCTGCCGACCCCTGGGGCCTGTGGGCTTTGTTGTTGTCCCAAATTTTGGGGGAGGGGGAGGTTTTGGGGCGGGGTGTGACCCCTTCCAGCCCTGGCAGGTTGTTCCCTGCGTGGGGAGGCTGGAGCTGCCTCTGCCTTTGTTCCCAGCCTTGTGAGCCAGGAATGAGCAGCTCTGGCAGGGCCTGATCTGACCAAATCCCCCAGATTTTGAACACCTTTATTTCCCTCAGCCCCTCTGATCCTGAGGGATGTGCAGAGCAGAGCCTGTGTCTTGCCCGTGCTGCCTCCCTTCTCCTTGGGCTCCCTCCTGCATCCCTGGAAAACTCCCTTAAAACTCCTGATTCATCTGCCAGTCCTGGTGGTTTGGAGCTTGCTTCTCCCAGGATCTGCTGTTCCAGTCACCCCATGGCATCAGGGCTGTTGTTGCCTTGGGAGGGAGGTGTTTGCAGGCAAATGTGGCAGGTTTGGAATCCCCAGGGGTTCCAGAGCAGTGGGATCCTGGGAAAATCCTGGGGCTTATAAAAAGGAGGGTGGGGGGAACTTCTTTTGCAGGCAGAGAGTGACAGGACAAGGGGGAATGGTTTTAAACTGCCAGAGGGCAGGGTTAGGTGGGATATTGGGATGAAATTCCTCCCTGTGAGGGTGGGGAGGCCCTGGCACAGAAAAGCTGTGGCTGCCCCATCCCTGGGAGTGTCCAAGGCCAGGTTGGAGCAACCTGGAATAGTGGAAGGTGTCGCTGCCCATGGCAGGGGTGGGACTGGATGAGCTTTGAGGTCCCTTCCCACCCAAACCATCCCATGATCCCACGGTCCCGTGTGGAACCCGGGCTTGAGGAGAGCTCAGCTTTTCCCTTTGGGATCAGGAACACTTCCTCATCTCCAGTATTGCCTTTTTTCCCCCCCAAGGTCTCCCTCCAACGCCCGTCCAGCTCCTGTATCCCGTCTCCAGGTTCAGCAACGTCAAATCCCTTCAGCACCTTTGCCGCTTTCGGATCCGGCAGCTGGTCCGGATCGACCACATTCCCGAGCTCCCGCTGCCCAAGTGAGTCCCAGGGATGGGTCCCTTTGATTCCTGAGCTCCCACTGCCCCAGTGAGTCCCAGGGATGGATCCCTTTCATTCCTGCCCTCCCAGGCCCTGGGAAGGGTCTGTATTTCCAGCGAGGGCCCGGGCAGGGAATGATTGACTTCCCCCCAGCCTTGGGACAGCGGGATGAGCGTCCTGTGGGATGGGGGGGGATGCACGTGGGAATTCCGAGCTCGGGAGCGAGGTGTTCCCTTTCCCAGCCCGGTGCCGGGGCCGGGTGGGCTCTGGGGAGGTCGGAGCGGTGGTGGTGGCTCAGGGACTGAAGCTCTTCCCGCTCCTTTTCCAGGCCCCTGATCTCCTACATCCGCAAGTTCTACTACTACGACCCCCAGGAGGAGGTTTACCTGTCCCTGAAGGAGGCCCAGCTCATCTCCAGACAGACCCAGGAGCCGGAATCCTCCACGTAGCGGAGCTGCCTCGCCCGTGCTCCCGGCACTGATGGTACGGGAATGCTGCTGGATGCAGCCAGCCCTGGGATCAGAGCCCAGCTGTGCCTGGGATTTCAAACCCACAGAACCCTCCTGGGGCAGTCCTGCCTCTTCACTCCGGGGTCTTTTCACCATTCCCAAGCTTTCCCTGGTGAGGGAGGCAAGGCTTCATCATGGTCTCTTGCCATTCCCAGTTTTTCTTGGAGAGGGGAACAAGCCTTCCTGGCCTTTTACCCTTGGGAAAGAGAACAAGGCCTCGTGGTCTCCTGCAATTCCCAGCTTTCCCTGGGGAGGGGAACAAGGTTTCACAGTCTTTTACCATTCCAGGCTTTCCTTGGGAAGGGCAACAAGGCTTTGTGGTCTTCTACCATTCCCAAGCTTTCTTTGGAAAGGGGAACAAGGCTTCCTGGTCTTCTACCATTCCCAAGCTTTCTTTGGAAAGGGGAACAAGGCTTCCTGGTTTTCTACAGTACCCAGGCTTTCCTTGGGAAGGGGAACAAGGCTTCCTGGCCTTTTACCCTTGGGAAAGAGAACAAGGCTTCATAGTCCTTCACCATTCCCAGCTTTCTTTGGGAAAGGAAACAAGGCTTCATAATCTTTTACAATTCCCAAGCTTTCCTTGGAAAGGGGAGCAAAGCTTCATAATCTTTTACAACTCCCAAGCTTTCCTTGGAAAGAGCAGCAAAGTTTCACGGTCTTTTACCCTTGGGGAGGAGAACAAAGCTTCATGTTCTTCCACCATTCCCAAGCTTTCCTTGGAAAGGGGCACAAGGTTTCAGGGTCTCTTATCATTCCAGGTTTTCCTTGGGAAGGGGCACAAGGTTTCAGGGTCTCTTATCATTCCAGGTTTTCCTTGGAAAGAGGAACAAGGCTTCATGGCTTTTTTACCATTCCCAGCTTTCCTTGGGAAGGGGCACAAGGTTTCAGGGTCTCTTACCATTCCAGGCTTTCCCTGGGAAGGGGAACCAGCCTCCAGGTTGTTCCCACCCCAGCCTGTGCTGATCCCTCTCCCCTCTCTTTCCCGCCAGGAATTTGGTTGTTGCCATCCCGCAGCCCGAGCCAGGCCGTGGTGGGAAGGAGCCCCCCACACTCCCCTGCTGCTGCTCCTGCTCTCCAGCCCTTTTGTACAGAGAAGAGGGGGCCAAGATTCCCGAGAAGCCCAGCAGAGCAGGAATCCAGAGCCTTGGCTCCTGGGAAAAGGCGTCTCGGAGGCGGCCGAGCCTCCCGGCAGAACAAGGAATGTCACGGCACTATTTACAAAGTTTGGGGAAAGTTTTTTATTTTTTTTGACGTGTTTCTGTTTTCAAAAAGCATGAGAAAGTGACTGCGTGGTGACGACCCTGCCTTGGAAAACGGGGAGGTGGGGAAGGAGATGGAGGGAGGAGGGGACACTCTCTGGGAAGATCCGTCTGCTCCGAGGCATCGTGGCGGGACTGTCCTTTGATCCCCACGGAGAGGGGAGGATGCAGCCTGGGGAGCTGCTGGAGGCAGACTGAGCCAGAAGGGTCGGCAGCTCCGTGGGATAACCTCTGGGAATAACCTTGGAGCTCCGGGCGGCTCAGCAGCTCCCCGGGATCCGGGAGGAGGGAGCCAAACCCAGCCTTGGGAAGCTGAGCTTTGCAGCTGGATTTGCAGGATGGTCCCACGGGAGGTTGGACCCGAGGAAGGAGGAGTGTTTGAGCCGTTGGGATGTCCTGGATCCCGAGGGAATGGTTGGTGCTGCTCCTCTGAGGAAGGGCCATTCCCTGAGAAAACACTGGAAGATCCCCCCTGAACCCCCCGGGAAGTGGAAGGAAGGTGGAGAAGCTGGAACTGTTGGAGCTGCCTGTGGAGCAAAGGTACTTCCTGCAGAGCCATGGGATGTGCACTTCCAGCCCCTCTCTGGCTGATTCCAGAAGCTGGGAATGAAGTGGCTTCCTTTGGAGCTGCCAAGGATCCTGAGGAGGAGCTGCTGGGGGTGACTGGGAGCAAGGAGCAGCTCCCTGAGGGTTCTCTGGAACAGCATCTGCCCTCTGGGAGCTCCCTTCCCTCCCTGGGACATCCGTGGATCCACAGCAAAGCTGGGAGAGGTGGTGGCTCTTGCACAAATAACACCCCCCCCCTTCAAATCCTGGTCTGCTGCTTCATCCCCTGCAGCCACTGAGCAGGAACTTCATGGATGTGATGCTGGGAATTCTGGAGAAGCCTCTTCATCCCTGTGTTTAAAGGAGCGAGTTCCCGCGCTCTCAATCCGAGGAATCTCTCGGTCCTGCCGGGCCTGTGGGTCGGGGTGGGTGCCCTGTGAGTGCCCTGTGAGCTGCCAGGACCTTGGGCTCTCCCTGCAGGACGAGCCGTGGCCTTGAATTCCACGAGGCCGCGTTGGATTTTAAGGCAGCCTGGAAAAATCCCGCCGGCCCCCAAAGGTGCTACAGATCCTGCCCTCCCCGTCCTGCCCGTCCCCTCCTGGATCCTGGGAGGGCTCACGTGCTCTGGAAAGAAAGGATTTGGCTTCCAAATCCACAGAAATACCTCATGGGACGCTGCTCCATCCCGGCTGTGGGAGGGGAAGAGCTTCCCAAGAGCCAGGCTTGGGAATGGAGGGTCCAGCTCCATGCCCAGGCTTCTCCCCAGGAAGAGACCCCTGGGAGCAGGATCCATGGCATGGCTGGTGTGTGTGGATCAGGGAGGGAGGGTGGGATGCAGGGAACAGGGAAGCTGGAGAAGCTCACGCTCCCCCCAGTGTGTCAGTGACAACATTCCCACTCCTTCCTTCCCTGTTCCGGGATATGGAGAGGCGCAGGCTGGGTTTGGGAAGGGGGAAGGAGCCGACCTGGAGGGCAGAGCAGGGAAGGGTGGTGCTGGGTGGGCACTGGGAGGGGGTGCTGGGCTTGTTTTGGGGTGAAAACGCACAACCCTGGTGGGTCAGGAGGGATTTCCTGCAGTGCTCCATCCCTGCATCCCACCCCATCCCCACGTCCCACCCCATCCCCGTGTCCCACCCCATCCCTGTGTCCCCCCAGAGCTCCTCCTGAGGGACCATGAGGTGGTTCCACACCTTCCAGAGCCGTTGGAGCAGCCGGACTTTGGGGCCAATACTTGAATTCCATGTTTTCTGGTCGGCTGTTGATGTCCCTGTGGGATTTATCCCAACAGCCTGGTGGTGCTCCTGCTGTTACTTGAACCCTGAGCATGGTGGGGTGGTGGGGGGGGGGCAGCTCTTCCCAAATTTGGGCCAGCAGGAAGGTTTTGGGTCTGAAATGACGGAGGAGACGTGCTGGGAGGTGTTGGATAGGGGATGGCGAGGGGTGGGATAGGGATGAGATCCCTCCCAAGGATCCATGGAGGTGGCAGATGCTCCTCAGCATTCCCAGGGCTCTGCTCCACCTCTCCTTGCTCCGAGCCAGGCAGGAAAGCTGGAGCAGGTCAGTGCCAGCCCCAGCCCGTGGCTGGTGGTGCTGGCTGAGATCCCAAGGTTAACTGTAGTTAACAGCCTTCTCCTGAAATCCATGGAAAACAAAGCTGTTCCTGCACGGGGAGGTGTGAGGGGAGCGAGGGGTTTGATCCATGTGGGGCTGGGAATGAGCCAGAGGGTTTGATCCGGGGCTGGAAGTGAGGGGTGGGTTCTGTGGGAACATCTCCAAGGGGTGCCTGGGCCCTGCCTTCCCATCAATCCCAGTTTGGGGAATGTGTTATCCTGCCTGGAATGTTCTGGAGGCTGCTCCCATCCTGCTGATCCGGGGGAAAAAACATTTTATCACCACCCTTTATCCAACCTTGAATTGTGCAGAGGTGGTGCTTGTCCTGCTCCCGGAGCCGGGAAATGGACCATGAAACCCACTGGAGCGCAGGAATTGTCCATGGAAAAGCTCCTTTCTCTGCTTTTCCAGCTGGATGGGGGCAGCCCTCAGCCCTGTGCTCAGCTTGGCAGCTTCCCCCTCTTCTCCCAACACCCTATTTCAAGGTGGGGAATGACCTCCCTCCCTCCCTCCGGCAGCGAGAAAATTGGGATAAACCAGGGAAGTTTTCTCACGTGGAAGTTTCCAGCGAGAAAACTGGGATAAACCAGGGAAGTTTTCTCATGTGGAAGTTTCCAGCTCGGCTTCCACCTCCTTGGGGCCAAAAAAAAAAAAGAGAAAAGGGTGGAAAAATTCATCCTTGGCTTGAGTTGGGTTGGGGTTTGTAGCTGGATTTGCAGGATTGGTCCTATATGGGATCCACCTGGGCTGCTCCTGCTGTTGGGAATGGGTGGATTTGGAAGCTCCGGGTGTGGTGTTGCCAGATTTTAATCCCTAAAAGCGTTTTTTTAAACCCTGAAAGTGGTTTTAGCAGCGACCCTGTGAGGCTGTGCCGCAGGTGGTGGCTGGGGGGCTCAAATCCCAGGAGTGTTTTGGGGAGAAAAACCCCTGAAAAGTAGGATTTTCCTGAAGGAAGGGCCTTGCCTGCTCCCAGGAGGAAGGGAACTGGCCCTTTTCCTTCATTCCTTGCAGTTAAAAATCTGTCCTTGGGATGGTTTTACCCTTCAAATTGACCATCAGGGCTGAGGGTTTGGGGGGG